TGGACAGTTGTTAGCTGCCATGTGGGTGCTGGGATTTGAACCTGGGTCTTCTGCAAGAACAGCCAGTGTTCTTAACCACTGAGCCATCTCTCCAGCCCCTGGTTTTATTTTTTAATCAGATAACAATGCTAAAGAAATAAAACATCTATATCTTTGTCAGTGTCAATCTTTGTTATAAAGACAAAAGCAGAAACAAAGAATGGCAAGGTGCTAAAGAGGTAATGGATATGTGGTGCAAGAGCCCAGTCACTGGACTACAATGAGACACTACCAGCTCTGCCTCTGATTCACTGTGTGCAACTTGCTAAATTTCATGTTCTAAGCTTTGAAATTCAGTTTGCTCTTCATGTATATTTGGAAATTAAGCTGAGAATGGTAGTGGAAGCTGCTGTAAAAACCTCGTCTCCTAAGTACATAGAACTAAAAACTAGTGACACTATCATGATACTCTATCTTAACTACTGTAGAAGGTCGCCTCTATAAATTCCATGTGTGTCTGGGAAAAATCATGAAACCTAAGTAGGTCATTATGAGTCAGTGTGACACTTTAGATCAATCCAGATGATGAGTTACAAGAACATTGTTACTCATTTATGAAATTTGGTCTGACACTGGCAAAGAAGTCTCATGAGGCTCTCATGGCTAAGAACAACATATTCATACTCTAATTTTTAGTTTAAAAATAATTTGAGGCTAAACTTCTCTGCCTTCAGTAGGGGGCCCAGACCTTAGCAGACTGCCTGAGAGTGCCTGGATCCAGCCTCCCTGTGGTGGTGAGCTTTCTGAAACCGGGCCTTGCCCATCCCTCTACATTGGGACCACATGTGACCCCTCTGACTGCACCAGGGCTAGGCTTCTCTGCCCTGCAGTAGGGGCCCATACCTTAGAACACTGCTTGAGAGTGCCTGGATCTGGCCTCCGTGTGGTGGTGAGCTTCTCCAAAGTGCGTGCCCATCCCCCAACATTGGGACCACCTGCAGTCCATCTTACCACTCCAGGTCTAGGCTTCTCTGCCCTTTAGTAGGGGCCCAGATCTTTGCAGACTGCCTGAGAGCACCTAAAATGGACCTCCCCTTAGTGAGCTTCCCATACTGTGCTGTGACTGCTTGCTAGTAGGTGTCCAGACCTTAGGAGGAAGCCTGAGAGTACCTAACTGGCATCTGACTTGGGCCTCTGTGGGAGCTCCTGAGTAGCTAGACTGAAGCTATTTGTTCCCTTCAATATAAAATCTGAGAAAGCCCAAAGCCTAGACCAACCAGCTTTCCATATCCAGTAAGAAAACAACCAAGGCACACCAATAATACAAACAGAAGTAGACTTCAATTCAACAAAGGAAGCCTTGAGTTTCATACCAGAAACACAAACAACAAAAGATATTCACATGCCAAAATCACAATGGAAAAACAATAATACGGAAAACCAAACTATGTTCCAACCAAACACCACTAGTCTAATTGAAGAGTTCTACAAGGAGAACTGCCTAGGGACAACTCAGGACACGGAATTTGGCGCACACCTTTAATCCCAGCACTCAGGAGGCAGAGGCAGGCGGATCTCTGTGAGTTCAAGGCCAGCCTGGTCTACATAGTGAGTTTCAGGACAGCTGGGGCTACAGAGAGACCCTGTCTCAAAAAGACCAAAAAAAAAAAAAAAAAAAAAAAACCCCAAAACCAACCATAAACATGATCAAAGAATTCAATGAATTTAAAAAACACAAACACACACAAAAATCAAAGACCTAAAAGAAGATAAGGATAAACTTCTGGCTGAATTCACAAAAAAGATAGAAATATTGAGGAAAACTCAGGCTGAAAAGAAGAAGGAAGTGAAAAAACTCAATAAGCCAATTTGAGACAACAGGAGAAAACCTCACTGAGTGAATGAATGAAATGGAAAACAGGTTAAGACTGGATGATAAAGTTGAAGAGCTGGACTGCTCAAGCAAAGATTATGAAAATTAAAACCAGGAATGGAATATGCAGGAAATGTAGGACAGCATGAAAAGATCAAATTTATGCATCACAGGCATAGAGGAAGGAGAAGAATTTCAGGTTACTGTACAGTACCGATCAGATCTTAAACAGGATTGTACACGAGAATTTCCCAAAATTAAAGACATGCCCATAAAAATACAAGAAGCACACAGAACACCAAATACACAGGACCAGAAAAGAAACTCCCTATGCATATCATAGTAAAAACACTTAATGTATA